GTGAGGTTTACCTCAAAAAATAGAGTTAGTTTAAAATTTAAATGTCAATTAATGCTATATCTTCTATGTGATGGTTAATATTATGTGTCAGCTTGGCTAGGCCATAGAATCCAGATCTTTGGTTAAACATTGTTCTAGGTATTTGTGTGAACATATTTTTTTTTAAGATAAGATTAACATTTAGATCAGTAGACTTTAAGTAAAGCATATTACCCTTCATAATGTAGGTAGACCTCATCCAAATTAGTTGAAAGCCTTAATAGATAAAAAAGAAAAAAGAAAAAAACAGACCTCTCCCGAGAAAAAGTAAATTCTGCCAGCAGAGTACTCTCAAATTTGAAATCAACCATGAGTCACCAGGCTGCAAGCCTACCCTGTGGATTTCGGATTTGCCAGCATTCACAATCATGTAAGCTAAGTTCTTAAATTCTTTTACTCTGCCTTTTTCGTCTACCTCTCCCTCTCTCAAATACCCTAAATACATACATGCACCATCATTCAGAGTGGTGAAAAACTGAATGTGTTTGCTTAAAGATTAGGAGCAATACAAGATGTTCATTGTCACTACGTCTATGTAATATTTTACTAGACGTACTAGTCAAAAGATAAGACAATGAAATAAAAGCCAGAGTGAAAGGAAGAAGAAAAATTATCTCTAATTGCAGATGAAAGGAAGTTTTATGTGAATATTTCTAAGGAATCCACAGACAAAAAATTAAAATCTGTATATGAATTAGCAAGGTTTCACCATTCAAGATGCATATGCACATCAAATGTAAATTTGTATGTTATCAATTAATAATTTAAAATAAATTTTAGGATAAAATCCATATAAAATAAGTTTAAAAAATAAAATTATTAAAACCAAATGTAACAAAAGTAATGCTAGACATGTACATTTAAAAATACAAAATAACATTGAAACAAATTAGATATAGTAAAGAAAAATGGATTCCACATTTATGGATCAAACTTTTTTATATTATTAAGATGCCGGTAGTCCCCAAATTAATCTACAAAGCCAAAACATTACATCAAAATAACAGCTGGTTTCCTTGCAAAAAACTGTAATATAACCTAAAAATTCTTATGGAAAGGCAAATAACTCAGAATAGGCTAAACAAGTTTGAAAAAGAAATATAGAAGTTCAGTTGCAAACTTCCTGATTTCAAAACTGATTATGAAACTACATTAATCAAGACAGTACATTAATGGTATCAAGACAATATATTAGATCAATGGAACAGAATCAAGAATCCAGAAATAAACCCACAGATTTGTGGTCAATTGATTTTCCACAAGGGTGACAAACTATACAATGGGAAAAGAGCAGTCTTTTCAAAAAATGGTACTGATACAACTGGATATCCATGTACAAAATAAATAAATAAGGTTGGACCCCTTTCTCACACTATACTCTAAAACTAAAAATGTGTCAAAGATGTAAGTGTAAGAGCTTTAGCTCTTTTCTTAAACATAAAAATCTTAGAAGGATATGTATGAGCGAATCTTCCTTGACCTTGGATATAGGTAATGGTTTTTTGGGCATAACAGCAAAAAGCTTGTGACAAAAAAACAAAATAAATATATTGGACTATATAAAAATTAAAATCTTTTGTTTTGAAAATTATGGCATAAGCAAAACAGCCCTCAAAATGTAGGAAGATATTTGCAAATCATAACTTTGATAATAGATATATGACATATATCCAGAATGCATTACAAATTTTTACAACTCAAGAATAAAAATGAAAATAATGCCATTAAAACATGGGCCAAGGATGTAAGGAGACATTTTTCCAAAGAAAATATACAAATGGCTAATATATACATAAATAGTTTCTATGTATCATTAATCATTAGGGAAATGTAAATGAAAGTCCTGATTGAATACATTTTCACAGCCATTAGGATGGTTCTAATAAAAAGACAGATAATAAAAGTGTTGTTAGGGATATAGACAAATTGGGATGCACATACATTGCTGGTGGGATTATAAAATGGTGAAGCTCCTCAAAATGTTAAATATTAAAAGTAATTGCAAACATTACTTTTTTAATTACATTAAAAGTAATGGCAAAAACCACAATTACTTCTGCACCAACCTAACACAATGTTGCCTTATGAGCCAGCAATTCCATTAAATATATACTCATGAGAAATGAGAATATACATCCACAAGATCATATGTGTCAGTGCTTACAGCATTGTTATTCATAACAAATCCAAAATGGAAAACAGCTCCAATGTCCATAAACTGATGAGTGAAAAAAATGAGGTATATTAATGCACTAGAATGTATTTTATTGAGCCATAAATTAATTTTTTATTTTAATTTATTTTTAACTTTTATTTTAGGTTCATGGGTACATGTGAAGATTTGTTATCTAGGTAAACTCATGTCATGGAAGTTTGTTGTACAGATTACATCATCACCAAAGTATTAAGTCTAGTACCCAAAAGTTATTTTTTTTTCTTCTCCTCTCTCTCTTTACAACCTCCACCTTCATGTAGATGCCAGTGCCCGTTTTCTTCTTTTTGTTCGTGAGTCCTCAAAATTTAGCTCCCACTTATAAATGAGAACATGTGGTATTAGGTTTTCTGTTCCTGCATTAGTGTGCTAAGAATAGTGAACTTTGGCTTCATCCATCTTGTCACAAAAGTCATGATCTTGTTCTTTTTATGGCTGCATAGTATTCCATGTTGTATATGTACCACATTTTCATTATTTATTTTTCCACAGCTAGGTATTTAGATTGGTTCCATGTCTTAACTATTGTAAATAGTGCTACATGAACATATGTGTCTATGCTCCTTTATAATAGAACTATTTATATTCATTTAGGTATATACCCAGTAATAAGGTTACTGGGTCAAGTAGTAGTTCTGTTTTTATGGCTCTTTGAAGAGTAGCCACACTATTTTCCACAATGGTTGTACTAATTGAAATTCTCACCAACATTGTATAAATGTTTCCTTTTCCCCACAACCTTGGCATCATTTGCTATTTTTTGACTCTTTTTTAATAGTCATTCTGACTGGTGTGAGATGGTGTCTCATTGTGGTTTTGATAAACATTTCTGTAATATTGAGCTTTTTGTCATGTGCTTGTTGGCTGCAGGCATGTCTTCTTTTGAAATGTGTCTCTTTACGTCCTTTGCCTACTTTTTAATTTAACTGGTATTTTTTTTTGTAAATTTGTTTAAATTACTCATAGATGCTGGATATTAGACCTTTGTCAAATACATAGTTAGCAAATATATTCTTCCATTCTGTAGGTTGTCTCTTTATCTTATTGTAGTTTATTTTGCTGTGAAAAAGCTCTTAAGTTTGGTTAGATCTAATTTGTCAATATTTGCTTTTGTTTTGATTGCTTTTAGTGTCTGTCCTAAAATCTTTGCCTATTCCTAAATTTAGGATTGTGTTACCTACCTTGTCATCGAGTTTTTATAGATTTTGGTTTTAATTTTAAGCATTTAGTCCATAATTAATTTATTTTGGTATATGGTGTAAAAACAGGAGTCTAGCTGCAATCTTCTGCATATGGCTACTCAGTTATCCGAGCACCATTTATTGAATAGGGAGTCTATTCCACATTATTTGTTTTTGTGAGCTTCCTCAATGATCAGATAGTCATAGGTGTGCAGCCTTATTTCTGGACTCTCTATTTTGTCTCATTCATTTACATGCATTCTTTGTACCAGTACCATGATTTTTGGTTACTGTAACCCTGTAATAGAGTTTGAGGCAGAGTAGTGTGATGCCTTCAGTTTTGTTCTTTTTGCTTAGTGTGGCATTGGCTATTCAAGTACTTTTTTGGTTCCATATGAATTTTAAAATAGTGTTTGGTAGTTCTGTGAAGAATGTTGTTGGTAATTGGATAAGAATAGCATTGAATCTGTAAATTGCTTTGGGCAGGCAGTATGTCCATTTTAATTATATTGATTCTTCCTTTTCCTGAGCATGGGATATTTTTTCATTTGTTTGTGTCTTCTCTGATTTCTTTGAGCAGTTTTGTAATTCATTGTAGAGATTTTTCACCTTCCTGGTTAGCTGTATACTTAGATATTTTACTATTTTTGTGGCAATTGTAAATGAGATTACCTTTTTGATTTGGCGCTCTGTTTGGCTGTTGTCTGTATGTGGAAACGCTAGTGATTTTTGTACATTTCTTTTGTACCCTGAAACTTTGCTAAAGTTTTTTACCAGCTGAAGGAACTTTGCGATTGAGATTATGGGGTTTTCTAGGTACTGGATTATGTTGTCTGCAAACAGGAATAATTTGACTTTCTCTCTTCCTAAATGAATGTCATTTATTAATTTCTCCTGCTTGATTGCTCTGGCAAATACATAATTTAATGCTATAAATTTTCCATTAAGTATGGGTAAATTCTGATTGTATTTTTGTTTTTATGTAGGTAAAGTGATTTTTAAATTTATTTTAGTTTTTTGAACTGTGAGTTACTTTAAAATACGTTAATATTTTTAAATTCAAATTTTAAAAATTGATATTTATTGTGGTCTGAGAACATACTTATTTTGTATTTGATACATGTTATTTTAAATGTGTTATGTTGTGTTTTATAACACAAAAATGTTGTCTTTTAAAAATATTTCATGAGGGCTTCTGAAGAATGTGTATTCTGCTCTTTTCATATGGACAATTCTATAACTGCTAAGTGCTCAAATTGATTGAAGTGATATTCAGGTCATTTTTATTCTTATTGATATTTTACCTGATTAATCTGTCAATTACTTATATTGAGTTGTTGATGTCTCCAACTATAATAGATTTGTCTGTTTATCCTTGTAGTGCAATCAGTTTTTGCCTCATGTACTCTATTTTTTAGATGTATACATGTTTTAGATTGTTATATTCTTTTAGGGAATTAACCCTTTATCATTTAAAGATGCCTCTTTATTTATGGTCATTTTACTTTCTCTGAAGACAGCCTTTTCAAAAAATAATATAGATACTCACACTTTTTTAAAGCTTATGTAATGTAGAGTACAAAATAGTAGTGAATTTTACATATTATAACCCACTATGGAACTTATTCAATGTTATTATCCCAAACAGCCCAAGCTGGTAAGAAACATTGCCTCAAAACATTAACTTTAGGTAGCACATTTTGTTTTGATCAATGTTAACACCATATACCTTTCTTTACGTCTTTATTTTAAATTATCCATGTCTTTACATTGAAACTGTCTTTCTCTTAGACATATACAATTAATTTTGCCCTTTCCCCACTGATAATTTCTATTTTTAGTTACTATATTTGGATCACTGTATCAGAAATATTTATACTAATATCTTATTTTATTTATATTAAGATATATGATTGATATATTTAATCTTTATAAAAATTTTCTATTTCATTTGTTTTCTTATTTTATTCCTCTTTTTAAAAATTTTTTTGACAGGGTATCTCTTTGTTACCCAGGGTGGAGTGCCGTGACACAAACACAGCTCACTGTAGCCTTGACCTCACAGGCTAAAGTGATTTTTCATATTTGCCCCCAAACTAGCTAAAATTGTAATCACCCAAGAGGTTCACCTTGCTGGCTGCCTAGACAGAGGTGATATATCAAGACAGGGAAATTGCAGTGAAGAAAGGATAATTCATGCCGGATCAGCTTTGTAGGAAATCAGACTTTTATTATTACTCAAATCAGTCTTTCTGTGCATTCAGAGACCAAGATTTTAAAGATAATTTGATGTGTTAGGAAGTGGGAAGTGCTGATTGGTCAGGTTGAAGATGGAATCATAGACGTCTGAAGTTTCCTTATCATATTCTGTTCCTGAGTGGGACTGTGGAACTGGTTGAGTCAGATTACCAGTCTGGGTGGTGTCAGCTGATCCATCGAGTGCAGGGTCTGTAAAATAACCTCAAGCAATGATCTTAGGTTCTACAGTAGTAATGTTATCTCCAGGGGCAATTTAAGAAGGTTCAGACTCTTGTAGCCAAAAGCTGAATGTCTCCTAATAATCTCTATCACTGTCATAATTTCCTCAGTTATAATTTTTTCAAAGGTGTTCTCAATTCCTGCCTTTTGGTTTTATAGCACCTTTTTCTTAAGGTGTGTGCAATGAAGATGAGAAAGGCCATTAATCCTTCTGGCTTCTTCCTGCCAATAGGGTGCATATTGGGGGTGGGGGTTAACTCCAAGGTGAGAGGAGTTGAACTGCTTTGCAGCTGTCTGAGCTTACTCACAAAGACCAGGCTGGGGCTCCAAGGCTTTGGTGACAAAGGTGTTAGTACAGTTTTAGTACAGCATTTAAGTGGACAGTGTACTACAAATGCTGAGTTCTAGGATAACGAGTACAAATTTCCAGTTTTAAAAGTAAAGATGTAAAACATTTGTTTGAGAACTTGTAGTCAACCAAAATTATTTAGTCTGACTTGTACAGTAAAAATAAATAAATAAATAAAATAAAGACTCAAAAACAACTAACAACGGGTGTACTATAATTATTGAAACAATTTCTTCTCCCAGTCCTTATTTTTCACTAAAAACAAATCATTATAGTACCATTTTGTTTGCAAAATAAACTTTAGTTTTATTGTACTTGGCATGATTATTTGCACAGAGTGCAGCAAGAATAATTATTTTTCACATAGGCCTTTTAAATTGGCATTGATGGAACTCTGTTGCATAAAGAATCTCAGATAAGACTTTTTAACAAGCCATGTCCAGCCACGGTTTTGCATCTTCAAATACTTATGAGGTGAGTAAAAATTCCTCTCCACTTGAGGTAGCAAGATAACTTGAGGCTCCTGGACCTGTTAGAATGTGACATTCTTTACTTAATACAGGTCAGGAACCCTATACAGAAACCACATAGACAAGGTATGAGGCCAGTTTTCCCAGTGGGTTTTATTTGCTCTATTAATTGAGTTTGATTCCTTAAAAGAAAATACACCATTCTTGGTAAAATAACCAGTTTCTCCAATTTCATTCTGTTGTGAAATAAAACATTCTAATTGCTTGTATGCAAATAACTCTATTGCCATAATTTAAGAATACTCATATAGTTTCCCAATTTTGAGGAAATCAGATAGAGAGAAACAAATATGCTTCTGATTTTCTTCATAGCAGTATAGTTTACTCAGTTGTTAAAATCTTTAAATAGCTCAGAAAATAAGTTTCCTTGGCTCTGAAAAAACAAAAAGAATCAGCAAAGTTTTTAGCAAAAAAAAGTAAAGAAAAAGATTACTTTAGTTTTTTTGTTAGCTCAGTCCATTCAGTTACCTCCTATTCTGCTTGATATTCACGAACATCTAAATCTTCATGAGAGCCCTGAGAGTTTATTTCCTTTATTATAATGTCACAATCTCCAAAGTTATATAAGAAACCTACATTCAAGAGCACCTGTCAATGTTTTATAGCTAATTATAAAATCATCTTCTAAAGAGGACCAAACAAAACAAAAAGTTTATAGTTTTCTGTGGATGAAAAGAACATTTTAAGTCAGTGACAGTTTAAAAACACAACTGACAAGGAAATTTGTTATTTCTGTGGCACACAATAATTTAACATAACAATTATAATTATTACTGATAAAATATACAGAGGCATATCAGATTTATAAAAATCTTCTACAATTTTGTAACACATACTAATTACTTATAAAAATATATCTCATAGAAAATGAAACATCATTTTATATTTGATAACGTTTCCTGTGTTTGAAATACTTGATTTCACAAAATAGTATCCTAGGTCACCATAAGTCATTCATGTAGCCAAATTGATAACTCGCAAATTAAAAACAAAAACAAACAAACAAAAAAACCCAAAACTTTACTCTGTTAAAGAGGAGACTCAGCTTTCCAAACAACAAGATTCAATGAAGGTAGCACGAGACCAACTGAATCTGTCTCTTCTCTCTCCTTCCACATTTTTTTTGTAGTTTACTTAAAAGGCAAACAAAACCCTTTTATTGTTCTTAATATTACATAAAAATATTTTCAAAATAGAAAATCAAATTTTATGTTTTCATTAATGCATCTTTAATGCTAAAGTTAGTTTTTAATAATAATTTGTATATCCAGTTTTAATTAGTTTGATGATAAGGTAATATTTTCATAAACCTTTTAGAGCCCTTTAGAATTTTTTGTTCTTGTTAAATAGCAGAACAACGTTGTAAAGAAACCTCTGTCTTGCTTTTGTTCCTATGTTCAATTTATGGAATAACTGAATAATATTCCTTTAACTTTACCCAATGTATTTACACACATTAATTTTTTTATAAACCTTCCACAACTTGTTTAAAACTTTAGATTTGATTCTGTCTCACTTAACACAATCCTTTAACCCTCTAAACTTAGGCAAGAAATTCATATTCTCATGCCTTTTATATAACCTTTTTTTTTTTCGAGACACAGTCTCACTCTGTCTCCCAGGCTGGAGTGCCTCACTGAAATCTCTGCCTCCTGGGTTCAAGCATTTGTCCTGCCTTAGCCTCCCAACTAGCTGGGACTACAGGTATGCACTACCACACCTGGCTAATTTTTGTACATTTAGTAGAAACAGGGTTTCATCATGCTAGCCAGGCTGGTCTTGAATTCCTGACCTCATGATCCACCAGCCTTGGCCTCTGAAAGTGCTAGAACTACAGGCATGAGACACCACACCCGGCCACCTTTATATGATTTTTTACTAAAAGTGCATTCTGCTTTCCTTACATGCCTTGTTTGTAAAACAGATTCTTCAGTAGTTTCACATATATGTTACACTGTAAACTCCTAGCAACTTTTACTTTTGGTGAAAAACATGGTTAGTAAGTGATTTTAATTATGTACCAAGTGTAGAACCTATGACGCCAGTCAAAAGTGTGGATAAGGTCTGACTCTTTCCAGCATAGCTAGGGGGTGTGGCTAACTCCACATGTTCCCAGGCCTTATCTAGTTGTAAAGCAGGTAGGTTGTACAGTTAAGAGTCATAGCAGCATTTTATGAAACATTTAGGAGGCCTCATAACGTTTAGATTGCACAACATTTCCTGCATAAATTCCCTTTCAGAAAACCTTTCACCACTTACACTGACCATCTATGATACATGTAGATTTTTGACTTGTCCTAAATATCCTTTTTTTTTTTTTTAAACAACCAGTCACTTTATGTTAGGACAAGAATTTACCATTCAAGATCCTTTTACATATATATAAAATCTCTTTTCTTATAACCTTCTTTGCATAGTTAGGAAGCTAATTCCACCTGTCCCTAGGCCTTATCTGGCATATAATGGCACATCTGAAAGCTGTGGCAATATGTCATAAATTTGGCCTCTTTACATAATCCTATATTTCTTCAGGGTTTTGTTCATTTTTAAAAATTATTTATTCTTTATTTTTGTATGAATGAGTTGATTCAAATAACTAGTCTTTGAGTTGTGAAATTATTTTCTTAGCTTGGTCTATTCTGCTCTTAACACTAGCAACTGTGTTATGAAATTATCATAGTAAATTTTTCAGATCAAAAAGGTTAAATATTGGCATTTTTAAAAGGGAAATTTCATCTTTCAGCTCTTGAATTATTGTACTGAGTGCTTGGCTCCCTTGGATTGGGTTTCAAGTTTCTCCTGGATCTCATGAGCTTCCTTGCAATCCAGATTCTGAATTTCATGCCTGTCATTTCAGTTATCTTAGACTGATTAAAAACCATTGGTGGGGAGCTAGGAGGCTTGTTTGGAAGTAAGGGTACACTCTGGCTTTTTGAATTGTCAGAGTTATTGTACTGATTCTTTCTCACCTGGGAGGGCTGTTGCTCCTTCAGCGGCAGTGCAAATTGAGTATAGTAAGTTGGTTTCATTTCAAGTGTCTATACAAGTCTTTGTTTTTGAATTTTGACCTTGGTGTCTCATGAGGTGTAAAGTAGTGAAGTGTTTCTTGATGTTTTCAGTTTGGTCTGTGTTTCCTGTAGATGACATTTAAGAGCCATAGGTGCTAAATAGGCTCTCAACAATGTGGCTCTTTTGTGTTTCATAATAATTCCAGCTATGCTCCCTTCCCCAGGAGCATTCAGATCCAGGAATCAGCTTTAGCATTCAGGAACTCCACGTAGGGTTCCTCACTTTCTCCCTCTTCAGCCTCAGCATCTGCATATTTTCCCCATTCACA